CACCCCATACAGAGACCTTGCAACAAAATCACCCCAGACCTGTCCTGCAAACTTGGGCTTTCTCGATTAGCAAAGTCTTTCATTCCAAACCACATGAGATACCGTCAGCCTCTTTAAAGGTTCAGATTTTGCAGGAAGCAAGCCTGTATTAAAACCAATCAGGAAAAAAATCTAATTCTTGCCGTTGCCAAAAATGCTCTCTAAACAGCGCATCAAATGTCATCAAGGCAGAGCTATTCCTGAATTTGAAGACAGCCTGTAACAGAAGACCTTAAGAGAGACCCGGCGTGCCCCTCGTCCCCAGCGGCGTTATGGAGAGGGCCAAGGGGATTTTCCGAGAACCGGACCGTGACGCGCACAATAAAACCAGCCACGGGCGTCGCATTCAGCGATCCCACGCGCGAATGGTGAGAACGCTGCAGGAAAATCAGTCGCCCTAAGAGTACCCTTACCATTCCAGTTATGGTAGTCCCAAGTGCAGAGCTTCAGTAATTTGAAGGTCAGCTAACTGGAAGGCCACACTGACTCTCCAATTTCTGCATTACAATTCTGCATTTAATGAGTGAAAAACTCTCCAGACAACAACAAACTCCGCTTTCACAGCATGACCCCCTGCTCCATAGCCAAAAGCACCACAAATACTATTGAAAAAGAAACAGAAGATAGCAATCCCAGGAGGATTTATAATCAAAACATATTTTTAATGATCCCATTCATTTCATTCATAACTTCATGGATATTTTGTTGGCATGAGGAACGCTGAGCACCCCAGTGCCATGGCAGACACAAAGACCTTCCAGAACCTGCTCCAGCATCACAATTCCCTGTTCCCAGCGCAACAGCGTCGGCAGCATTTAAGCATATGTATCAATTGTTTAATCTTAATATACGTGAATTTATCTGCTAGGGGTAGTAACAGGAAGGGAGACTGCAAACGCGTATATTTAATATTGTAAGAACATGCAAAGCTTAAATACAACACTTGTTCAGGGAAAAAATCCAGACTATGGCAAAAGGAATCGTCGCTGGGAGGACACTGCCTATCTGCCACTTCCTAGGCTGGCAGAAGCATGCAAATCACCACCGATATTTTTAAATCATATCTGTTTACAGATTTATACCGCGTACCCATCGCTCAGCATCCAGGCACACATACATCATTTGTCTACAAATCGGACTTTCAGTACATTCTTACTCCGGGGGTGCAGATCTTTACGAATCCCCCACCGTTCGCCAAGCAAAGGCCTGAGTAAATGGACGCCAGCAGTGACCGAGGACGGAGGGAAAGGGCAGAGAGGAGCATCACGCAGCGACGGCGCGGTGGGACACGGCCCGCAATCAGTTTGGGCCAAAAGCAGAGTTGTTTGGATGCTGAAAACACGGCATTTTACAGACGCTCTGATTAGCCTCCAGAATATCTCCTTCATATAGATTAGCTCAATGTGAATAATACTTACAATATTTGCCTCGCACCTTTTTCCTAGTAAACGGTAAATGGCCTTACACGCGGGGTTTGCACAAGTCTTCAGCCTCGCACATTTAAACACCGAGCCTCCCTCGTCCGTGCCGGGAGGGCGCGTACCGCTCTCCCTGGCCAACGCCACGGGCGCCATCCAAAACTGGGTGAGCGGACGTGGGCCTGCGCGGGGTTTAACGTCACCGGGCTGCACCTTCTGCTGGGCCACAGCAACAAGGTGAAGGTCACCGAAACCAGCAGCAGTCGAGGAAGAAAAGATCAAAAGAGAGTAATTACTTCTAAAACCGCTTTTGAAATGACATCGCACATACGTATAGTTGCACGCACGTCACGTCCATGGTTCCGCAGTTACAAAATTAACACACACATGTAAAATCCATCCACGCAGCACGTATCTTCCAGGCCCTTCTCCTGCAGACCTCTATTCACCCAAGTAATGCTACTGAAGTCAATGGAAATGCTCTTGTAAACAAGGACTTACAAGAACCCAACGTGACAATGATTTCAAAAGGAGTTTTGACTGTGCAATTGTTGCTGGATTAGGGTCTTCAGAAACACCGAGCTCGCTCTGAAGAGCACAGAATTCAAATCTGCGAAGTGCGGGGGCCTCCAGAGCGGATCCCGGGAAGCGCTGAAGGACACGCTCAGCCTTGAGTATGGGAACGGCTCCTGGGCTCCCCCCGAAGATGGGCAACACGCCTACGGAAGGGATGGAGCTCGGAAAAAAACCCAGGCTCTCCTCCCTCCCTTTTATAAGCCACTGACCTAAACTGAACCGTATCACATTGCTGCCTAAATTAACACAGAATAAACTGCGCAAGTACCTCGTTACATTAAAAAAAAGAGAGAAAAAAAAAAAGAAAGAAAAAAAAGGGGAAAAAAAAAAGAAAACCCACTTGGCAGACATGTTTTCTACAAAATAAGCCTATTTGGTGAAATTCTCATTTAAAATAATTGATTCAACAATAAAACAGCAGCATAGACCAGAAGCGCAAACAGCAGTATTTATCAATGGCACTTGCCCAGATAAGTAAAAGTTTGTAATAAATAGATCACCCATTACTTTGCTTATATAAATGCAAAACAGAGCAACAAAACAGAGCAACAATATAAAAGACAAATAAATGAGTTAGACACGGAGTCCGTGAGTTTAAGAAGTCTCCCCTGTATTTAATAAAGCATGATTTTTTTTTTTTTTAGAAACACTAACAGATCCCTTGCAGATAGTTTTTATCTTTATATTATTATATAAGACATTTTGTGTTTAAAGTGAACTATTGCTTCATCTAGGTGGCCCCTCTGCTGGGCATAGAAACTAGGTTGCGAACAAAATAAAAAATCACCATTGGAAATTACAAATCATACAACTTTAAAGCATTTTGATCTTTTTTTGTTTCCCCCTCAGTCCAAAGAGAGAAAGGATTGAATCGCTGGGAATGTAGAAGTCTGCGTTTTAGCGTAAATTTCTGTGCCTACGTAAAATAAAAAAGCAGCCAGCCGGAGTCACGGTTAGTTGAGAGACGAAGGAAAATATGCAATTATAGTTCATCCCATTCTATGAGCTCAGCAGGTGGAAAACATTTAAACGAGTGACTTGTCGGAACCAAACCTAATTCTTTGCTTCTAACCCAGGTCAAAGTCCTCTTGGAATGAGTGAGACTTTTGCTTTTGAAGAACTGAGCATTTGGGATTCTGCAATCGGTTATCATTAAAACATTAAATCTGACATTTCACAAGGTTCCAGTATTTTTTGTTTTGTTTCATTTTTCTCCAAGAAAATCTGTATGTATCTAGTGCAAAGTATTCTCCCCCGCTGCCCTTCAGAGAACTTCATATATAGCAAGTGCTATTAAACAGTTGACTTTGTATCAGCTCTAAAAAAGGATTAAAATTACTTTCATGACATTGAGGTTATGCTGTGTTCAAAACCACCCAATTGGGGGGGGGGGGGAAAGGAAAAATTACCTTTGGAGAATTAATTCAACTAAAAATGGATCAATTAAAAACCGTATCTTTGCAAGTTTTTTACATTTACAATACATTTTTGTTTATGCATAAAATAAGCATATCGAATACGTCGTCTCTTAGCACAGACCGAGAATAGGTTAAGATATTTAACAATTTGCTTAGTTTCCAATTTTGAAAGGTAACGCACAGCGTAACACGCTATTTCTCCTCCAACAACCGAGGCTGCGGATGGAAGGAAAGGCTGGAGCGTCACTGGCCGCTATCTGCACCGACACCAGGGTTTCCACTTCCACCCAAGCAACAGAGCTATACCGGATTATCAGTAGAGTGGATCCTTCTTTCTCAGGGCTGTTTTACCCAAGAGAATCCATTTAAAATTGCTTCAAACATCAAATGAAACACGAGTTATCTAAACATCAGATTTTCTAATTTTATTAAAAACGCACAAATTTTATCCAACATGTTTTCTTTCATACAGTGAATGGTCTAATATGCACTGGAGGTCACACAAGCTTAGGTTTATTAGAACAATAAAAGACATATGAGAAATTTAATATATAAAGAAAAAAGTAGCAGCTGTTGACTGCATATTTGACCATAAAATTTAAATATTTTGGACTTTTATTTTAAAGACACAAAAATAAAACCTGTGTGGGTCTATATAAGTCATATTAACAATTCCATGAATGTTCAACAGGACTAAAAATTAGCAAAGATGTTTGTTTTTTTTTTTTTTTTTAAACCTTGTAACACTTTTTAAACACCTTCTCGGGTTGCTGGTGCAAAGCACCTTACAGTATTTGTGCTATATATTTACTTTATTTGGCAACTGTCTGGGTTTCGTGGGTTTTTTTTTCTTTGCCTTCTGTAAACAACACCTTTTACAAACTAGCACAGTGAACCACAAGCCCTGCAATCTGTTAGAACATCTACAGAAAAGAAAATGAACTATTTTGGTTGGTTGCTCAAAATATTTTGCTTTTGAACAAGAGGTTCTAAAACAGGATTTATTAGTAAAACATTGAACTCCTGAATTTAACATTAGACGTAAACAGTTGACTGTTTTTAGTTCAATAGAGTCTTTTTGTTTAGCTTTTCTCTCTCTGTGAAGGTAGAATACTTTTTGTTTGTTTGCTTTTTTCAAGTCATTTTCGTTAGAGGTCTGGGTGGTGACCTTTGCTAGGATGAGGAGGTTTTGTACGTGTAGCTTTGTGAAGGTAGAAGAGTTGGTGCTGAGGGCTTAACATTTAGTATTTGCTATTTAGGAAAACAAAACAAAAACAAAGGAAAAAGAAAGTTGTCCCACCTGATAGTCAGCAGGCTGAAATGGCTGAAGCTAAAAAGAGTTTCTTGTTGTCGAACTTTCTGAGAGACAAAAATGAACAAACAAATTCATAATGCCAGAACCATCCTTAACCGGGAACGCTAGAGTTCTTGAAGCTTTTTTCCCCCTTTTCTTTGACCTTTCCTTCTTTCAATTATTAATTTTTTAAAATGAGAAGTTTCTAAGGATTGTGGCTCTTAGGATGACATCCAACAGGGTAATCAAACTTACGCCATCCTACGGTATGGCAGCACTTTACTGTACAGCTTCACCAGTTTCTTTGTCAATGGTACAAAAAAGTCCCCTTGCTTGTTTGATACAACCATAACCTGGAGATTGTCCTGGTCTAGAGCAAAGCTTGCCTTGGAGCGATTTGGATTCAGTTCGTTCCCAAGGTAATATTGTCTTAGGGCAGGAGAGATGTTATAGTTATTCATTTCTGTACACCGTAACAATAAGCAGACTAGATGATCATCACTTACTTAGACCCAGTTTGTTTTAAAGCTACCACACAGCCGCTTCATTCATTTCTGGTGGATGTGACAAGTGATTGCCGTAGTTAGCACCACCGTTGACGGATATCGAAGAAAATGGAGGACTGGGGCCAAAAACTTCTGCGGACATGGAGTGCAAGGACCCGGGCAGGTTGGGTTCGGGGCTGGGCGAGTCTCCGGGAGGGTGCGACATGATGTCAGTGAAGCGCTGAGCCTCACTGGAGGGGTGATGTCCGGGCAGGGGGTGATCCATGGCCCCCAGGGGAGTGCCTGACGGCCCCGAGGAGGGCACGAACGGGAGATCCACGGGTGTCTGAGCTTGAGATGAAGGAGGTCCTTGCGGGAAGAAATCGTAATTGCTTCCAGGGCCGTAATACTCGCTCTGATAATCTGGTGGACAAGGAGAGACAGAGGGAAGGTAACACACGCACGCAGGCGAAGCAACCGAGCAGAAAAGACACGAGCGTGCTTTCACGGCGGTGTGCCTCAAAATGTCACCCGGAGCCCGCTGAACCCGAGAGGTTTGGAAACGTGCACAGGGCCGAGACCGGGGACCCCCTTCCAGCAGAGCCCCCGGCCGGCAGCGGGGGCACCGAAACCACACGGCCGGGCCTGCCAAAACGCGTGGGTCCGGCAACGGCAGGGCAATGACCCCCGCCGGGCTCCGGGGGGCGAGCAAACCTCCCCCGGGGTGCGGCGGGGGGAACCCCGCCGGCTCGGCGCGCT